CGGAGAGCGGAACCGAGCGGAGTGGAACGGGAGGGGGCGGGGCGAGGTGGGGCGTGCCCGAGGCTTGGGGCGTGGCCAGGGCTTGGGGCGTGGCCAGGGCTTGGGGCGTGGCCGAGGCCCGAGGCGTGGCCGAGGCCCGGGGCGTGGCCGAGGCCCGGGGCGTGGCCGAGGCCCGGGGCGTGGCCGAGGCGGGTCCCGCGCGGGCGGCGGCGCTGATTCCCCCGGCCGCGCTCCCGGTGCCGCCGCTGCGCTCGGCCCCGGCCCCGCCGCCTGAGCAAAGCCCGGGCGCGGCGGGGCCGGCTGCAGCCGCGGGAGACACGGGCGCGGCCAAGCCTCCTCTGCCGCCACACCGGCTCGGAGCAGCACGGCCGGAGCTCCTCCGCTCCGGCCCGGCCCCGGGACCCGGCCCCGCTCTCCCAAGGAGGCTCCGCTCGAAGCCGGCTCCCCGCGCATGCAGGACAGCAACGAGGCCACCGCAGGGCTGGGACACTTCCTTTAATTCACAGGGTGCCGGTACGGAGCAGGGGTGCCGCCCGCTTCCCGTTTCCCACCTCGTTCCGCGGCACTCGGGGCGAACGGCCCTTCCTCGGGGCCTAGGGGCAGCCCTGCACCCCGGGACGCTCCCTCGCCGCGGTTAGAGGATTCGCATTATTCTCCTTAGGCTCTATTGTTTTTTGTACACAAACACTGTAGATTCACCGTGACGACGGGACGTGACAACACCGCACACAGCACGGACACACGGCACGAAAACACAGCACGCAAACACGGCCACGACATGATTCACATCTTGCTGAGGAGAAAAGGCAGCAGCCAGAGCTGGGGCAGGGAGCTGGAGGGTGCTTCCAGGAGCGGATTGGGGCAGATCTCGGCCGCCTGCTCTGCAAGGAGGGCGCAAGGGCCACGACAACCGTCACAGTGACCGTCACAGTGACCTCCGTGCACCGCAGGGCTCTGCTCCGGTCCTGCAGCTTCTCCAGGAATTTATAAGCTCAGTGTTTTTAAACGTGAAAACCAAGAATTTTCCTCTCCAAGTGATAGATACCCAATACGACTGTTTGCAGCATCAATTCTTCCCTCCTCCATATCACCACTGTGTGAGAAGTGCCATAGGGGCTTCCTCGGGGCTACCTACGAACACTCCTCTGTTTCCTTTGCAAAGAGAAGTGTTTTATTTTCCACCCCAGCTACACAAGCGCCCTGGCTCCTCCTGGCCTGGGCTGTGGCCGCATCGCAGCGCTCGAGCCCTGGCCAGAGCTCAGGCCCAGCAGGGACCAGATGCTGCTTCTCTCTGATAAAACCAGTGCCCACGTGGACGGTGGGGAGGTAGAAGAGCACGCTGGACTGCGAGCTGCCCCATGCTGACCCTGTGCTTAATTACAAGCAGACACAAGGTCCAAAATATGTAAAACTATCTAAAAAAAAAACAAAAGGACCAGTTTCTCCCTGGAGCAGCCAGCTTTACCCAATGGAAAATGGAAGCCAGTAGGCCTTTTCCCTGTATGGTTTTATGCCCCCTCAGCTGTAGCTGCCTTTTTCTCTTGTTCTCACAAAGCTGCCAGCGAATTCACAACACAACAACTACACGAAATTACACGCAAAACTCCAAACACTTCATGCACTTAGTGGTAAACTCGGGGAGCAAAAGCTGGATCCAGTGTCATGCGTTACCGAGGGAGGCCGCAGCTCCCGGGAACACTCGAGGCGGCTGCAATAAGTTACTGGGGCTACAGGAGGATCTCATGCAACCAGGACGCAGGGGACGGGTCCAACCACAGAGCACGGGGTTTAACAGCGCGCGCCCGGAGGCAGCTCTAGTCGTCGAACTTTCCTTCCCGGATGGTCTCGAACGAGAACGGGAGAAACTTGAATCCAGTGCCAGTGTAGAACTTGTTCTGGAATTCGATCCTGAAAGAGAGGCGAGAGGACACACGTGTTATTGACTATAAAAATTAAACAAAGCTTTAAAGAGAAAAAAAAAAGAGTGCTATATGTAATGCCCTTTTTGCATTAGGGCGTTACTTTCAGGCATTGCTTAGGGGCGTTCTTATGCATTATTTTTTTTTTGTAGGGCACTGTTTGCTGTCCTGGGGGGTGGAGGGAGGGACGTGCTGGCTGCAGTAGGGGTAGGAGCACCCAGAACCCTGCAGCAGGGCAGCGCAGCTCCCGCCCAGCACGTTACCCAAGCGCAGGTTTGGGTTCTGCCACGCTCAGACTTCCTCCCTCGCTTGCTTGTTTATTTACTCGAGCTGTCTGACTTAGCCCCGGGTGCCGCTCGCTGCCGAGCCGGGGATGTGCGTTTCGGCTCAGCCTCCCCTAACGAACGCGGTTTAAAAAAAGAATAACTCTGCACAAGTGGCCAATGGTCAGCAACCGCCAAATAGGGAACTGAGAAAAATAATCCCAGGGTTCGCCATGAAAACAAGCACAGTGTTTCCCTGAGGCTCGTGAGAAACACTTTCCATGACGTGTTGCGCTAAAAAAACGGAGTCTCTGTAGGAATTGAGCAAAAACAAATCTCCCAGCAATTCTAAAACTATTCAAGATAAGCATTTTATGCTTGTGAAATGCAAAAAGGCTTTTTGGACTTATTTTTTTTCCAAATCAGGAAAGTGGGGCACGCCAAGCCCCAAGCTATTGGTATTTCAGCTGGCAACTCATATTTTCCCAGCAGAACAGGGGTGAAGCTCTCAGCAAAACAGCTCTTCCCTAGTCAGCGCTGCTGCCTGTTCCTGCAGATAAGCCCAGGAATCCCTCGCATGAGCAGGACTTTCCACGGGGGAGGAAAGGCTCCTCGCCAAGACACTCCGGTTTTCAGGAACCCTGATAATCCCCAGGAGCAGCCTGTGACTAACGCGTTGCAGCGAGCGCCAGAGTTCAGGGTCCGAGTCACCACCGATGCTGATGGGCAGCTCTGAGAGCACAGCAGATGCCCCAAGCCGAAGAGGAGGCTGCTCCTCTGCTAGGGAACCAGTGACAAGTTTCAGCAGATGCCACCAAGGGAGGTTTCCGAGTGCTGCAGGGCCCCCTGAACCCAGCTCTGTCCTGGGCACTGCGCGCCCCAGATCCGCTGCAAACGTCACCTTTGCCTCTCTTTAGTCACCGAGCTCTGCAGAAGATTTACTAGACATTTAGCAAATAAACAGACTGGAAAGCTTTTTGGTGGTTTGCATTAAAGAAAACATGCTCTTCAGATTTTTTTGGAGTTAATAATTATTTTAAGTGTTTGCTGGACAGCAGATACATGGCCTTTTCCAGCCAAACAGAATCATGGAATACCCACAGTGCTTGGAAAACTAGGCAGCTCTCAATCCCACTTGGAAGCACTTGGAAGAGCCATCTGCTGAATGGAAAAAACTAATTTTTGCTCAGTAGACTGCAAATTCCCACTCAGCGTCTGCACTGTGAGCCTGGCATGTTGAGCCCCGAGGGGAGCAGTAATTCAGAGGGCATGTTCTGCAGGGAGCCCGCAGTGCCCCTCACAGCTGCAGAGACTGGGGCCGTTTTGCAGGGATTGCTGGAATTGCTCTTTCCCCAAAAGGACAACTGCTCCAGGGGTGGTATCGGGGGCTACCCCAGCCCGTGTCAGAGAACACGGCCTTTTAAAGCAGCGCCGTGCTCTTCTGGTCACATTAAAAACAAGTCTCAGATCCTGACCTTTACAAGGCCAAATAAATAAGATCCCAGGGAGTGGGTGGGAAGTGGGGCTCAGCTGCCGCCTCCGCTCCGGATTCCGGGCAGGATGCAGTCCAGCACACCCACGCCGCGCGGAAAACAACCCTCCCGCGCAGCGGCGGCGCGCCGGGAGCTCGGCCAGCCCTGCAGCCTCCTGCTCCTCGAGCGGCGGATCCCTTCTCGCCTTACAGCTGGCCGGCCCCACGGCGCTGCCCCTTTGCATTTATTCCGCACGGGCATTTGAGTTTCGCTGCACTTGCTGTCCTGGAAATCTAAGTTGCACCAGGGGAGTCTCAGGTTAGACAGGAGGAAGAATTCCTACATGGAAAGAGCCATCAAGGATTGGAACAGGCTGCCCAGAGAGGTGGGGGAGTCCCCGTCCCTGGCAGTGTTGAAGAGATGTGTGGACGAGGCACTTAGGGACATGGTTTAGCAGGGTGGTGTTGAAGGGATTACAGTTGGACTCGAGGATCTTCAAGGTCTTTTCCAGCCGTAATGATTCTATGAGTCTATTCCGATGTCTGTGCACAGACCCCAGGAGTCGCCAGCGTTGCTGCTCTGACAGAAGCGGGGCTGGGTGGCAGCTCCCCTTGCACAGGCAGGGCTATTCGAGCTCCATTTCACTTCCTCAGAAGGGCCGAATGCCTTAGCACATTCTGCGGATGTTTCGGGATCAGTGGCAAGCAGCTCGAGCACTGCACGGTGTAGAAAAGTCACGTCTGGGGATGCCTAAAATACAGCCAAGGCAAAGGACACGCATCTGCCAGGGAGCTGCTCCTGAGCACAGGAGGGAGCCAAGGTCCCCCAGCGCATGGTCCCCTTGCTCTAGAGGCTTCTTCTGGGGAGAAAAGCTGTCAAAACCAACTCAGGCCTAAGCCTAAACCGAGAACACTGCAGCTACAGGAAGACAGCTCCACTGAAACAGCGTTTCTGCATCGATTCAGGATGTTAGGACTCTACTTCTCTGCATTCAGTTAGGAATTTTTCCTGTTGGACAAGGTCTCCTGAGCCTGCATTAGAACAGCTGACTAGCTTAAAATAAGAGGGCAAGTTACCTTAATCTAAATAATAGCGATACCAAACTACATCAGTGAAACACCACGATAAAGTCTTTTAACAACAAAGTTGTTAAGAGTTGAGAGGAATTAAAAGCACAACTCGACTGCGAGTGAGTTTCAGACCTCTGATACACAAGATTTTGGCAGCATTTACAAGTTCCTCCTCCAGCTCATGTCACCCCATGCCAAACCCAGCCTGCTGCAGGAATGCATGTTCTCTGAAAAAGTGCAAAATCAACCCTCCTCGCTTGGGAACGAGGGCAGACCTCATGGAAGAATCTGTTTTTTTTTTCCCCCGATCGGACTCATGCTGAATGATTTTTCATTTCCAGCAAGGCCGAGCCACCCACACCTTTCGAATTCCTCATAGGTGACTTCTCCCACTGCCACAGAATCCGATCTGCCCTGCCCGGGACAGCTGTATGTGCTTTACAGCTCCCTCCGGAGAGCACCTGCCATAGGAAACACCCAGATTCCACTAAAAGGGAGCGTCAACAGCAGGTTGTTTTGAACAACTTGAGTGCTTCGTTCTCCACCGCGATAAGGAAAACTCACCAAATCCCAAGCAATCTCAACACGTTACTTGCAGTCTGGAATACTGCTTGAACGTGAAATACTGCCTTTATAACCCTAAGCTTGAACAGATTTTTCTCTTCGATAACGTAAATTAAAAGTTTACAAGTTCAAAACATATCCTTGGGGAAAATACGACTTCATTAAGAGCTTCGGGTCTGCAGTTTCTCAGCAAGTGCCCTGCAGTTGTTTGGCCTGGCCACGGTTAGATGTGGTTACTGCTGTTATTCTGCTTGGTTTCTGCATTTCCTTGCCATCTCAGGTACATGCCATCTTCCTCTACACGTTTCTAAGGCAGTTTAAGCTAAGGCAGTGTGAGAACATCCTCTGGAAACAAGTGCAAACACTAAGTTCAGAGTTCAGCCAGGTGCTCTGCCTTGGCGTCCCTTAGAACAACCGATGCTTATTAAGACATGTATCCTTAAGAAAAATTTCCTCACTTATCTTAACGCATCCCTTTTACAAAAAGGGAGAATAAAAAAGAAGAAAACAACATGAGCTCACCGTGACGAAATGGGATTTGAGGGCCGCTCACCTGCTGTTTTTGAGAAATGTGCCACAAAGCACTGGCATTTAGAGAAGCCGCATTTGGAAAATTCACCACAAATGCACAGACGCCGCTCAGAGCCAGTGCGTACAACGAGAGCAAGTGCTCTCCGCGGCGCGTGGGCTGCTGGCAACAGCCATGGCAGGGCTCGCAGAGGCCTCTCCCTCAGTGCGGCGCGGCCGCGAGGCCCGGCGGCAGCGGCGCGGGGATGTGCAAACACCAGCCGGGCGGCGAGGAGCTCCTCGTGAAGCGCCTGGTATGAAGCATTTCTAGGCTGCACGCCAGGAAAAACAGAAGCGCCATCCAGCAGCCATTTGCAGCCGCGGCCCCTCGGCGCGCTCCCCGCCGGCACAAGATGGCTGCGCCCGGCCCGGCCCCGCGGCCATGGGCGGCCTCTCCGGGACCGCACGCGCAACAGGGCTGCTGAGGGTGCACAAGGAGCACGTTTTCCTTCCCCAAAAGCTCAAGAAAGTGCGAAAAGGCTGCAGGTTCTTTTTTTTTTCCCCCCCCCCCGTTCCTTTTCTGTCAAAATTTCAAGATGACCCTGGCTTCCTTTTCAACATACAGAACTATTTATCTTAAAAAAGACATCTCAGAGCAGCCTCTCTCTCCCATTTAAGCAAGGGAAGATATTTCTTGTGAGCTCCATGACTCTTTGCTTTGCTCTCCTGGCTGCCAGGGCAGAAACCACCCTGGAGATGGGTGAGATGGCAGCAATGAGAACTGCCTGGAGCAGGAGCACAGACCCGCTCATCCGCAGCGCTACCATTTAGTTTGAAGAGAATTTCTAGAGGACCTGCTGCTGCTCTGATCATCTCAAGGCACTGACCAGATGGATCTGAAGTGGGGGAGCAAGGGCTCTTATAAACACATTAGAGAAAGCCCTTGAACACTTCCCATTCGCGTGTGCACAGAGCAGTGCCCTCGTGAGCAACTCCTTCATTCCTGGCTGTCCACACACTCAGCACATTAGGGACCACGGGAAAGGGGCCAAAGAAGCAGCAGCAAGTGGCTGATATTCCACAGCACCCCACAGGGCGGGCAGGCAAAGCTGTCCCCGTTTTATACGTGCTCTTATGAAGAGCAACCAGACCCCATGCACTGCTCCTCAGCTAAGCAGGTAGCAGCAAAGAACCTGCTGGAGATGCACAGCTCAGCAATCAGGTGCATACAACAGCTCACAGCTGAGAGATTTTAGAAACAGCCGATTCTGAGCTGATTTGTGAGTGTGTACACACAGATTCTGCCTTCCAACCGTAAAATAGTAAAATGCATTTGATTTGATTCAGAAATCAGTATAATCTTAAGGTAATGATTTTATGGACTTAATGCCAATACCACTTTATAGAAGATGGCATCTTTGTAGACAGTCCATTTGATGGCAATTTTCTTGCCGTGAGTAGCTTAGGAATTTGGGCCATTCCAATAACTCACCAGTGCAAGCGAAGAGCATGGAGAAAAGCAGACAGCCCCTCCATGACCAGAAGAATTGCTACTGTCAGGGTAGCAAAAGCAGCAAATATGAAGAAGAGGCCAAAGCCTCCACCCAGGCTCCTCACGCTGAGGCCAACGTGGATCACCATGGTCCACAGCACCTCCGAGAGCTCTGTGGAAAGGGAGGAGATGGCACATTTCAGAGCATTCAAACAGATAGGAAGGGTTACACTTTACTTCTAGAGCAAGAACTAACCAGTTAAATCAGAACTAATCAGTCCTGGCTCAGCAGGTTTTGCTTTATTCAGCACTTAGAACTCCATCTATCCCCTCTAGATGCAGGTGGCCTTTAGGAGAGCACCGTGGAACTAGACACTAGAATTTAGACCCAGTTACCATCAGTTAATGTACACAGGGCCTCTGTCCTGCTCCAGGAACCCCTGATACCAGAGACTGGGGCAGTTTCCTGCATTCCTGCCTTCCCCAGCCCCCTCTGCCCAGGTTGATCCGCGACACGGATGCCAACTTCCACTTTGGACAGATACTCACGTGCATGGGCTAAGCTGAGAGCCCAGAGCCTCAAGTAGGATGCAGTGTTTGAAATGCACCCCAGGCAGTATTCGATGGTGTGGATGGCCTGGTATACCACAGTATCAGCAAAGTCAAACTGCAAAAAGAACACAGAAAATAAACGTTGCAGCAAGTGCTGTCCAACTTAGGAATGAGCACACTACCCGGTGCTATTACCTAGGGCATTAGGTTTGAACTTGGCCACTGATACTGTCTTCTCCTGGTCATCTCAACACTAATCATTTATTTTTGCCAATTTTATACATGCCTTGCTAGGTTTTATACAGCAAATGTCCACTGCTACACCTTGAATATTCTTGTTGTCACATTCTCTCAGATTAAAATATTTTTGAAAAACAGCAGGAACTTTGTTGCCAGGAAAAGACTGTTCAGCAACAAGATGGCATTTATATGAATTCCTTGGTAAACCATATGCATTTCTACTAAAAAAAAAAAAAAAAAAAGGAGAATTACAAATATTGCTTTTCTTTTATATAGATAACAACAAAGCCCGAGTCGATAATATGTATGTAGCTTTGCTATATGATCAACAAGAGCATCTTACAAGACAGGAAATTGCTCTTTTAAGAGCAATAATAATACACAAAGTGATCTTGGGAAATCACATCTGTACCCCTTTTATTGGCAAAGTCTCTGCGCATTGGTAATTTTTTTTTAAATAAATGAAAAGAACTCATAAGGAAGTTAGGGAGGACGGCTGCTTATGCTGCAGCTTGGGAACACACTCCCTACATTTTAGATTTAATTCATGCTGCAGAAACTGCTCATATTCAAGTAAATTGAACATCAGGTTTTAAAGACACCAAGTGATGAATGTTCCAGCTATGCACAACATGCTATTTATATTCTTATTTCTTCCTTGGCATATCCAGGGCAATAAACATTTAAAACAAGTTAAACCAGCTGTCAGAGCCCAGTGATCTCCCTCAGAAAGTGAACTGCAAAGATCTTCCACAGAGCCTGCTTCAGCCAATACAGCACACGGTAAATGGACAGTGCGAAATATTTAAGTTATGGCCATTTACACCTACTTGCAGCTGCTGGAGGATGTTACTCGTTACACCAGGGAGCAGGAGAATGAGCTGGTTTGCACTGGGACACAGTTGGTGGCTTTATACATTTTTCATGTTTATCAGGTATTCACCTGATCTATACAGGTATATAATCGATAAGCAGTTTACTGTAAGAATTACCAATGACACAGCATAAGGCAAACGAGACTTGCTTCTTTAAAAGTTTAGAAGTATAAACTTCTCCGTTTCAGACCTCTGAATTAGCAGCTTTCTGGGAAAACTAAGGAAGATCTGTGGTAAGGAATATCAGGGGATGGTAAGACAAACAAGCTAACAGATGAAGTAATTAAAGGTCTGTGAATGGAGATAACATCATATGAAGAATTAAAAATGGCCCGTAACATGTAAATAACTATTCTTTTGGAAAACAAGATGTCATGACATAACATGTGTAGTTCATCATGTGGTTTACATCAACGGGAGACATTCCATACAGACATGAATGCAAAGCTGGCTGTAGTCTTACCACCTCATCCTCTGTAGGCTTGAAAACATAAGTTTACATTTAGTGCAGGGTCTCAATCACATCATTAATCATGAACACATTCAAGAACTTCCTCCTGAACATGACACTACAGCAGTAACACATCTCACGCTGCAGAGACAACGTGATGCTGAGGAGCTGTTCAAAGCATCACGCGCTCCCAGAGAAACGAGATTAACTCTTTTTTCTCCTCTACCAGCAGTAAAGCAAAGCAGTTATTACCCTTAATGGTCAAAATGAACAAATAAACAAGATTTTACCATTCCAGAAATACAACACTTGGGTTTTGGCCAACACTGGAAAAACAAATGAGTAGCACAAATGCACTGTACTTCAGCCAAAGCCATGAATTACCCTCCTGGGAGTACTGGGCAACTCCTGCTGTGCAGCTTATTAGGTGGTGGTTCTGTGCAAGGATGGCAGACAAACCGTGCTGTGTGTTTCTTTATCTGCAAATTATACTGTCTTTTTTTTTTTTTTTTTTCCTTTTAATCTGTGGAGTCCTGGGGATGCCCAGAAGACAGTCTGCAGTACTTCACTGGTATGAAAATATCTCACTCAAAACATTGCTATTTAGTTTTAAGAAGTTGGAAATCAGGAGATAGAGGCAAAAATCCAGCACCTTCTGCCACCAAGTGCACTGGCCTGAGCCAGAGGATGATCAGGTGCTTACCTCTTCCCCTTCCTCAGAATGGGTAGATAACTGGTCATGTTGAATGATCTCAGCATCCTCCTCAGTTGGTCCATTGCCCACCCGGATCCCACCAAAGTTGTGTGTTCCCTAATACATGCAGAAAAAGAAAGAGCAAAGTGTGGTTAATCGTTTACTGCAATAGCAGAGGCTATGACCCCAAAAGCCGCAGCAGCTTACAGAAGAAAAAAAAAATATTAAATAATTTAAATATTAAGGCCCAGGTGAAAACAGCTGTACAACTCTCTTTCCCAGCTTGAATGGGAAAAGGGGCTCATTCCTGCTAGGGCTAGGGGGGGAAAAAAAAAACAGGCTGCCAAAATGAACATTCTACATTGCAGTTCACTTGCAACCCTGAGTAAAAGCCACATATCTCACAATGACGGATGGTGGAACTGGTGCGCAACAAGCCAACGCTTCGCCCCGCAGCTGTCGGACAAGCACTTCGAAACGACTGAAACACCCCGGCCGTTTCAACTGAAACAAGTCACACGGAGGCAGCTCAAAGCAGCACAGCCTGAGCCTGGCGTATCGACACGCTCGCTCCCCCCACCAGTGGGTCCGGCACATTGACACCACGCGTGGAAAATCACTCGCCCTTATCCAGAAAGTCGACACCGTGCAAACAGTTCCTTTTATAGACATTTGCTCTCACATTCAACGGCTGAGACAACCTCAACTCTATTACACTTTTAATAGGAAAGAATAATCCACAAACCATGTTGAAACTTTGCTTCTATGTTTTCTTCTAATGTACTCACTTGAGTACCTCACTTGGCAACTGCAATCATTGCATAATTGCATCTGATTTATGGCAGGCTTCCTCCTCCGTACGGTCTTGCCACTACCAAGAAAGGACACACAACCTTTCATCATCCGACAGTGTCTTCACGTGGAGCTTTCAGGCCTCGTGAACACACACTGCACAACAGAGGCCTAATTTGCACGTCTCTATTTTTGGAATTCTGACCAGCAGGCAGCTACGTGCATGGTACGGCAGGATCTCCGCTTCCTTCCAGATGTCCCAAGGACAAAAAGTGCTCGTGACGGATCCAAGGCACTATAAAACCCAAACCTTTGGGTGTGACCCACCTAGAGGGTAAGCTGAAATGCCATGAGTGGGAAAAAAGGCCTTGCACACTGCTCTAGTATCTGTGCTAAACATCCGTGACATGGAATGGGAACATGCTAACTTGGAACATTAAGGCTTCATAAATGTAGGGATTATTGGCAAATGAAGAGGTTTTAAGGTTCTGGAACTTGACTTTCACATCTTGTAGCTCTGGTATACCAACTTTCACCCTAAAGGTGCAGTTGTCGCTCACTTGTGAAATTCAGATATATTCCATACTCTTGATAATTAAGTATATAAAGCCAACTCCCATCTTTAAATCTATCATGTGATTTTTAAATCCACTCACTGTTGCAGCCGCTGCTGCCTCTAGTGCCTGCTCGCTCGGGACTGTGCTGACTTGGGCCTCCACGGGCTGCCCTTCCTGATAGTGAATGGAAGAAAAAAAGGGGAGGAGAAAGAAAACAAAAAGAGAAAGGGAGACGAATGGAGGGGACATGGGAGGATGAAAGATGGTCAGAGAAGGGAGAGGGATTGTCTTTAACTGAACTGTTCTTTGACTCACTTAGCATCCTAAAAGCTGTCTGCCATACATGCAGGGAGAATTTTCAAGTATCCTCAGTGCACGTGTGCCAGGTACCTGTATCTTATATAAAGATATTTTACAGTATGGTTGAAAACCTAGAGAATATCCCAAGGGATAACCTCTCATATAAAGACTGCACAGGCATTTTGTTTCTTACAAACACATCCAAACTGTTTTAAGAGACAGCTGATAAGTTTATCAGCCAATTAAACTTACATTCTGCTTTCACATTGTCAACCCAGCAAAGGAACAGAAATGCATCTAGTAACCAGAAGGACTCTGTTCTTTAGCCAGATGACAATGCTCAAGATATATCAGATATATACCACATATATACCAGATATATTGCATTTTTCATTACCATTATATAGGTTTTTCTAAAGCAGATTGCATGCTGGATCCAGATCTGAGAAGCAGGTAGGCAATACTCTGCCTCCTACAAAACCCACTTGCCTTTATGCCCAGGGATATGCAAAAGGCTTACAGGTCATAATACAGTGTGAACCTATATATCCAAGAATAGGATAAAGAGCATAGCTTTTCAGCCATAATTAGTGTTCATATTCAAAATATAAGCCGTAGTCACCCACCAAGTGCTTTCTCCTTAAATACTGATGGCGAAGGACCAAGGGTTTAGCTACCAGCATCCACGGCACACACAGTAACGCCACCACCACAAGGAAACACTGCAGCCCTTTCTGTAAGAGAGAAAAGAAACAGCCCCAAGTGATTTAGTGGCAGTCTGTGTTTAAAAAAAGAAACTGCTAGCAAGAGGTCTTATGCAAGCAGCACCAAACGACTGAATTCCAGAGCATGCAGATGCTTCACAGTGTTTCTCCCTCTTCCTGGAGCACTGACATGCACTGTCCTTGACGCCCATTTGCAGCTGTGCCCTCCGACCGCACGTGGCAAGGAACACTGCTGCTTTTTTGGATCAGGGAAAAGCCCAACCATTCCACAGGGAATCACAATCTGGCAGATGTCCAACAGGCCCTGCAGAGATGGCATTAATACCTTAGCTGTGCTCAGAGGCACCACAATGTAGATAAGGATGCAATACAAGATTCCTAATTACATCCTACTGTTAAAAGCTGAATTCAAATGTTCTGGAGTCACAGAACATGTGACATGTTCGACTGGTACAAATTTCCTGTATAAGAATTCTTCCTTACATCTTCAACATTACATAGTGTTCTGCCGTGAAAGTGATGCCATGTTTCCCTCTATCACTAAGAGAAATTGCTTCACTTTGATTTTACGGTCATTATAAGGTCAAAGCTGATCCTATTATCCTAGTGAGAACACATACCTGCCCTTTATAAAGCATCTTGATGCTGGTATCACTATAGGAGAAGAGAAACATGTTGATAAAATGTATTAAAAGGCTTGGTGCATCTTTTGATGTGTGAGCATCATAGGCTGTCCATTTGTAGAAAATAAGAATAACAAGGTATCCAAACAGTGAGGACATGAAAATAATTTCTGGAATAAATCCAAGGTAGATATTCAATGGCTTCTTGAAGTATCTGCAGAAGAAAATGGAGAGATTAAAATTACATTTGGTTACTATGATGAAAATAAAATGAAGATAAACTTTCATGGCTGTAAATAAGGAAAAGTCTCAGGAACAAAGCTACAGAAGCTAAGCATTTTAATAATAACTGGGATTAAAATCTAGTAACTAATTGTCAAGAATTATTACACATATGCAAACAGAAAAAAACACGTAGCACGCTCTGACAAAAAGGTTAAAGCAGTTTCCAACAGACTTTCTTCTTGAACTAATATGCATAGTCCACCCAAAGAAGTCCCAGTGTCTCCACTCCCACAGAAAATTAGAGCAAAGCACTTACATATGATTGAGAAGACTCAGTGTGACACCAAAGAGCATGTGGATAATGCCAAGAATCACAGACATTTTCATCTTAAAGGAATTGAGGAAGGCCAGCTTATTGCTGGCAATATTCCAAATCTGTGGAAAAAGGAACATCGAATCTGTCAAACACCAAGGAAAAGGAAGACAGTGGCGAATGTAAGAGCAGTTTCTTTCAAAGATGCATTTGTCACATATACACACATATATCCCTTTGGGAAAAAACAACCATTTTTTAAAGATAGGAATAGTGTCTTACAACCACCAATTCCAACCACCAAAGCAAGGTTTAAACCTGCTAACTTTTAAGTTAGGTAAAAACTGCAGGAACAAAATGCCAACTGGCCTGTAAACTTGACAAGCAAAACTATAGATACCCATTTAAATGGGCATCTAAACGTAGTTCTAATGTTTTGCACTAGCTCTTTGATGCAGATCACATGCATTTGGCATCATATATTACAAGAATAAAGAGCAGTGTTATTAGACAGATGGAAAACAATAAGATTACTCAGAAATGTATATTTCGGAGACTGACTAAAGAGCTGCAACTTTTAAATTTATCCAAGGTAAAATGGTAACTTTGTAAAGAGTCTTGCAAGTTTCTGTTAGACTTTATTAAAACGCTGCAGGGTAGAAAGAATGATCAGGAAGCCTCTTAAGGTTCTTTATCCTCAGTCTAGTACCTCAGCAGAAGCTGGATTCATTTTATCACTCATGAGCTCATCCAACACCAGATATACCAAGTGTGCTAAGGGGATGGAGAAGGGTGGAATTCTTTCATATTGGAGTGGACAAGCACTCTTTTGTTTACTGAGAGGACACTAAGAGACAAGAGAGGTAGGAAGAGCTCTTACTGGGTCAATGCCAAAGGGATAGGGCCCACCAAACACCCCTGGAACAGCGGGGTCCAGCTGCAGCAGAGGGGCAGTCTCAAGAAGTTCCTCTCTGTTTGGGAATAAACAGGTTATTCAAACATTAACACAAGCTATTTTTACCTCTTTCTTTTACAACCTCTCTTGTGAGGGCAGGCAGCATCTCAAATTGAGAAAGCTTTAAGCTTCCTAGGTGGTCATACGGTTTTTCCAAATGAATAACCAACCTGTCCAACTGAATATAGAGTGTCACAAGAAAAAAAAAAAATAAAGATACAATGGTCAGGAATTTTGCTACATCTGTGAGGAGAAGGCTGCTCAACAGCAACTTTATAAAGTTTCTCTGTAAACAAGCTGTTTAGAAACTTGAGAGATATCAAACTGACACTCATCTTCTAATGCTAATTGAGGCTGAATTCAAGGTTTTTCCTTTTTTCTGAGCTAAGAGGAAGATGTGGAAAGACAGGTCACTCTATCTAGATATCAACTATTTACTCACGACCAATTGCTTGCAAACATCGGTCGGACGCTCCACGATGAACCAAACATGTTGAGGGACTTGGAGAAGCAGTCATTGTAGATGAGGCCCGTGTAAGTGGAGAACAGTCCCATGAGCAGAATGATGTAGCGGCCACTAAAAACAGTGTTGAACATCTAGTAGGAAAAAAATGAACAATCCCCATAAGGACAAGATTACTCAGAAAGATGAAGCAGTCAAATCAGTTCAAGATAATCAACACCAACTGCATGGAATGGACTAAAAGCATGAGGTCTCTGCTTCCCCGTGGCAGAGGCTACATGTGCACGAAGTCAAACTGCAAGAACAGAACCTGAATATGGAGCATGAACAACCAGTGTGGTTGTCTGCAAAGAAACTGGGTTTGCCTGACCAGGAGACACTCTGTTCCACACTCTGCTGCAACCTTCCGACAGCAGGATGAGCTTGGAAGCGGACGGAGCAGGACGCTCCAGCTCTTTCCGTGCTCTCTCAGGGTACGTTAAGCCTATTTTACCTCTTATCAGCCTTATCAACCTTTCAAAGGTTTTCAAAGGGAAACCTAAAGAACCCACTACTGATACAAAATGATGCTGCTCAGCGTGTGCCAGGCTGCATGCTTCACAAATTCCAAATACAGAGAGCTTTGGCATTCTCAGTTCAAGAAAAGGAAGGTGTGAGTAATTCTGCTTTAAACGCAAACCGCAGTGTGACTTGTCTCCTTACCTCGTTGTCACTTTTCTGTGACAGAATACGACTTTCCCTAAGCACCATCCAGACAGCAATCAGGGTCATCAGGATTCCATGGCCAAAGTCTCCAAACATCACAGCAAACAGAAATGGGAAGGTAATGATTGTATATGGTGCTGTAAGAAAACACAACACTCCTGATGTACTGTACTTGAATAGTGAAGACTTACTCAAGAAAAATGTTTTAAGAAAGAACAGCCAGTGACAAAAGGAGACACAGAGCTCATTTATCTGAAAGAAAGTAGTAGTCGAGCAGTTCTCTGAGAACGAGTAAGTAGATCTTTGCTTCAAGCCAGAGAGAGAAAGAAAGGTGCTAAAAAAAACTTCATATGGGACAAACAATAAGGAGAAATGCCACGATAAGAGACAGACTTGCACTTTTCTAAGTATACCTGGATTTATCTCGCGGTAAGTTCCAATGCCATAAGCATCCACTATATTTTGAAAGCCAGAAGTAAACTTGTTAGTTTTGTTGTATGTCGGTGGGGTCTGATTGGTTTGCATCCTGTTTAAAATAGATGGCACAGTGGATCCGCTGTGTTCCTGTTTACAGAGAAGCAGGGTTAGAAAATCCACCCTCTGAGCAGAGGAGGACAGAATAAACATTTACTTTCTTGTTAACATTTGGAAACTTGGACACTCAAGCCTATTATTTATTTGACTAAAGAAGTAACTTGATAATCTCTTGGATAGCTCCCTTTAGTAATTTCTACTATCTATGCAAACAGCAGAACTAAGTTAGTGACTTGAACAGCTCACCTAAGCTAGTGACAGGTACCAAAATACTCAAATGCAAGAAAATTTCTCACTAGTAAACCATTTTCATGAACTTGAAGGTTTGCTTAAGTTATTTATAACATCCTCTATGAGAACTGACTCATAAAAGGGATGGTTTTCAGAAACTCATAGTGGGGAAGAATCAATTATCCCATGTTGTATTTACTGACAGTTGTTATCTGCTTGAAAAGAAGCAGGTAGGAGCAGTAAAACAGTTACTCACAGTGCCTCTTCTGAGAGCAAACTGGATAGAATCAAGGTCAGCAACAGGACACCAGACTTCAGCAATCAGGCACTTCTGAGTCACATCAATGTTGCACAGATTCAGGGTATGGTAGATGGCCTTCATTTTGCGCACTTTGATGAACCACACCCGGATATTTTTAGCAGCTGCTTGCAGGACCCTTTGGCGATGATCTTCCGTTTGGTTCAGCACCTTTCAGAGAGGTGGGACGAAGATCAAACTCTGTCACTGGCTACAATTTGCAGCATACAACACTGCACAACAAAGCAGAGTTAACCAACAAGACCCATATTGCCCTGAGGATGTCCCTCACCACACACACAGGACTGTCACGTTTGCAATATAAACTTAACTCTCCGTATTACTTATTCTGCCAGAACAATTTAAGGTTCCTTTCCAGGTATACTTTTTTGACTACTTTCCTCCTCCAACTCCAAGCTCAGTGGATATTTCAAGCAACCTACTGTTCAGGGGTCAGACAACACTTTTTTCATCCACCCAGGTCAAAAGGCAGAGAAGTGTGCTACAAATGAGGTGGGTATTGCCTTAAATGAACACAGAAAAATTACATGAAAAGATGTTTTACTAAAGAGAAAGGAAGAAAGTGCTTTTCTGTTGAGGTAGATTTCCAACTGGAATGTTTGTCAACTCAGGCCAAGTCAAGTCCCCAGGCTGGAAAGTCTGAGACTCAAGAGGAAGTGAGAACATAGGGTAGAGCCATCAGGCAGTTTGGAGTTCTACACGTCAACGAGCTTCTGCATTCTTGCTTCCTTTGTAATTACTAAACAATTACACTGCACAGCTTCCAGCTTGAGACAGTATCTGTATCAAATAAACAGTTCAGGTTGAACCTTCTGTTATTCTCCTTTTAGCTTCTGAACCCTTTTCTGACTAGCTTGCTGCTTTCAGACAGCTTTTCTGCATCACGACTTACTGCCTTTCCTTGAAGCAAGTATCAAATGCAGCAGAGCTGGTACCCAGTAGTTTTGTGTGCTTATTGTGTTTTACCAACGCTCAGGCTTTTGCACAAAGATTAGCTGTAAAGCAGAAACTCTTCAGGACAGCACAATGTGAAAATACAAAGGCAGGCAGGAGAAGAAAAACAAACAAACAACAAAAAAGCTAAGTTAATTAGTACTGTTACCTCAATTTGGAAATAAGTTTAAATATTTTTGAAAATCTGTTAGAGAAAACAGGCATTTATAGAAGCAAGCTTTCAGATTTGGAAACGGGTTACCTTCTTTTTTAATATAGACCAAAGATGAATTCATGTGTACAAGTGAGTGTGGCGTGTGTAAAAAAAGACATTCAGCACATTTATTTTACCATCTGAAGATCATCAATCCTGGTGTTGACGCCAGAAGCCATTTCCTTCCGCTCCTGCGGTGTTTCTGGGCAGGGGTAGAGGGAGGCCCGGAATCTGAAAGACATGCAAGCCACCTTAGCAACAAAGATGGGAAGAAGATAAATCAGCCAGGGAAACAGATGGCTGAAAGGCAACGTAGGAATAAAGCAGGGAGTGCTTTAAGATGATCTCCTGATCAGCAATGACAGTGAAGCACAGTTTCTGTCTTCAAAACAAATGGGCACAGTTTGCTTTAGATCAAAACAGTAGCTGAATGCTTCTTTAAAAAAAAAAAAAAAAAGCCAAACCCTTGATATTAAACAATCCATTCTTAAGAAGATGGAAGAAAATCCTCTCTCCCCTGCATGTCAGACACTCCGTGGCACTGTTATGAAGCCGATTAGTTATCATCTCGGCTCAGGGTGCTGCTTCCATACCAGTGCAGCTGCAGTCTGGAGTAACGAGCTGCTGGTCTCCCCTGTGAGAATACTGCTGCCATTTCAAAGAAAGGTTTGTCTGAGAGTGGGTTTCAACACACACTCAACTGCTTTTGGCGATTCTGTAACAAAGCAATTATGAACTTGGAGCACTACAGGCTCGGGGAGCAGCTCATCTGGCTGCAAAATATGTTTCAATCACTCATGGTATGTTTTATTTGCCATCAAAATACTTGCTCCTAATGTCATTGTGAAATAAGGAGGTCAGTATGGATGCCAAGTAATTTCAGTCTGCATTTCAAATATTTGAGATTGCTTTTTCATGGTTACTGTGCACAGCAACATGCCCAACTGCAAGACATTAATTTCATACCCTTCACAGATCTTCTTGACTCTGTTTTTCAATTGGTCACCTTGGAAAAAGATGATAAAGACAGACTTGTGCACATGATCCCCCTAGAACAGAAGAAAGTGCAATGTAATAGCTCCACTTTTGACAAAGGTTAGCATTATAGCAAATTACTACAAAGATGGTTTTCTCTCCCTCTGAATCTGTTCAGATAAAAGTCCTATCTGCCCAAAGAGTCAAGAATGGACTTTGAACCACTCGCATGGAACACAGTCCTTTTAGCCTCGAGATTGAAGATGCCAATTACACTTGTGTTCACTGAAGCAAATATTCCAGAATATCCAATATCTAGTCTATATAATAAACAGAAAAATCTGAGAAACTCTCCAAAACAGTGAAGATGCAATGAAATGCATATTGTTGCTTCTTGCTCAATTATGGAGGTGAGCTGACTGCAGAAAGCTAAAGAGCAAACGAAAATAAGATGAAGCTGTACAACAACTTCGATTCTCCAGGGAAGCTAAGGGCACATTCCTTGTACAGCTGTTTTCATGTTGGTAGCTAGCTCCCCTTTCCTGCATTTGTTAGCGAGTTATTGTTCTACCTTACTTAGGAAACTTTTGCATAATGTTTCAGGAATAATTACATTAGGTGTAACCTCAATTTAAGGAAGTGTTGCACAATAAGGGCAACAACTCTCCCTAGCAGGCTAATAATTTAACAAGTCAAACACCAGCAGTTGGCAGAACAAGGGAACAAATCAGCCTTATTCAAGAAACAAAGTTGTTGTTGAAATTTTACACTTCCATCTTCGTTGAGGTGAAGCCTAGAGCTTGTCTTTTTATTTAAAGCATGAGTAATAGTTCCCAAATTGCACTGTCTGTTGATTTGAGGGAACAGTAAAGGGGAAACAGAATGCAAAAGCAACATTTACCATTTATATTAGTAATAAGTCACCCCTCCACTTTAGCAAAAAAACAGACCAAGTTTGGAGCAAACGAGCTACAGATGTTGCACACCTCTAATGTCCCAAAGAACCTGTCCTACAAGGATGCTTGCTGCTTACTCAGGACTGCATCAGGAGTGGCCCTGTATGTTTGTGCCTGGGGAGCAACGTCATCACTCCGCAGTCCAACCTCAGAGTTGTTTAACAACCCTTTCAACAACTGTCATCATTCACCCTGCTATTTTTATTTTAACAAACTGGAAACTGTTTTATCATTAAGGCCTCAGGCGCTGCAAATAGGTATGGAGAAGACTAATATAACGGAGCCCAACCGAGGGATAAAGGCTCAGACCTACAAGCAAAACCTTTCACTCATCTGAGGCTTTTGCCTCTGTGAATGATAGTTCCTTTTACCGTCACAGGATCCTCCAGGGGGTTTTCAATTTCTGCTTGACGCAGGAACACGTTGCCTCGGCACACGCGCCACAGCATGCGCTCAAACGTCGGGATTCGCTCGCGGTTGATCACACCGGCCACAAACCTGGTCAGGGAACAGCATAAATGCCAGCTCTGGGATGAAAAGTGTACCCAGGCTAGCACCCAAAGCGCTGGTGCCTGCTGGAGCTGGGCACCGGTTTGAAAGCTACAAAAATCTTTATTTTAAGAACTAATTGAAAACCAAGTGGGAAGTCTTACAAATGGACAGAAAAAAAAAACCCACAGGAGAAACAACCGCACTGCAGCAAAAGCCATGGCTGATAACAGCGAGACTCAGTAACACCACATACACGTATTAAAAACGAAACGCCGATCAAAGGAGAAGCAAACATTCAGACAGACAAGTTCTCTGCTGGCTACTGTTCATTTTAAGAGGTCCCTGGGGAGCTACATGCCAAGGACTAGAGCAGGCTGCTCTGGGCATGATGGTGCTCTAGGCACGGCCTTCAAGCCGACCTCACTGTTTCAAACCCTTGACTCCACATAAGGAATTACAGGCACACAAAGACGGCCTGGAAGTAGCTAATGAGGAGGGTTACAGAACTACATAGATTATTTCAGAGTACTAAGTAACAGATTAGCTACTGGATTTAAATAGAGCTGAGAACGCTCTGATTATCTGAAAGAGCACTAGGGAAGGTTTACAAGGAACAGACTCCCTGTGCAGAGACATGTCTGAAGCACAAAGAGGAACTGGAAACTTAACATACATAGGACCTGGATGGAGCCCAACCACCAGTGTTAGACCAGCAATCCTGCTGGAAGCACCAGACTGGGAGCCCCACAACAGCTCTGCTCCAACCAGTGGGACTTGCAGCCTGAACATCAGGCAGCCACGGGCAAGAACAAGGCAGAACTCCAAAGCATCATTACCCGAGCCGTAGCGGGGCCCCTCTTCCCATCTCGCTTGGTTCCAGGAGTGAAGAGGATTCCTCCAACAGGTCTGGATCCGCCATCTGCTGATGATGCAATTCAGCCTGAATTCACAAATCAATTAATATCTAATGAAACTAGTTAGTGGCATGCAGGAAGTGAGGAACCAGGAGACAGTTGGGAAAGAAAAAAAAAAGAAAAGAAAAAAATATAAAGAAAAAAAAGAAAGAACACAGAATAGTAGAAAGAGATTACATGAGAGAACAGAGAGCGAGATTCACACAAGGAAAAAAACAAGAGGAAAAGTGGAATGGCTCAGCAAAGCTCCCATGAAAGAAAGGTCTCATGACTGCTGCAACACAACATGGGGGTGGGGTGTATATATAAGTCTGAAGAGAGGCAGAATTCCAAAAATTTATCAAGTTTTAAATACAAGTCATGTTCCTAAGAAGCACTTCTTTCCATCATACAGCACAGACTAACAAGCCTTACTCTCATTAAATAAATAAATAGACACGGAGATCCTCTCTGGCGTCATTTGTTAATTTTTCTGCATATGAGATGCCACAGGACTTTCCAAGACGTTCTTGGACGTTACATTTGCATGTGAAACAGTTCAGCAGCCTGTTCTACGCAGATAGGAAGGCTGCCCTTACCAAGGGTTACGCAAGACGGGCACAGCCTTCCTAGTGCAGGCAGCACCTCATGGGTCAGGGGTGCCAGCCTGGCTGGTTCAACTTCGTACCTGCACTGCCGTGGCAAGTAGTTAGGATCAGGAATAAAACCTCCGAGTGCTGGGTGGCAACTGTCCGAGCTGTGAAAATTCTCCTTATGGGCAAAACACACCATACTAAAGAACACCCTTTCCGATTAAATCCACTATTTTCCCCAGACATCTAGCCATATCCAATTTGCATGTCATTGCCAGACATATATAAGATACATAGCATAAGCCAATCTGGCTATTTTTTTTTATTTTTTTACCTCAGACATTAAAATAAAATTGCAAGCAGCTTATCTGTGATAATTCAGAGGCTAAAATTCGTAAATTCTTGGGAACATAGCTTGTGAGTGTCAGCAATTGAAGTGAGGAAGGACGTTCATACCACATCCTTGTTTGCCATGCTCATACTCCGGCCAGAAGCCTTTGGCATTTCTACCTCTGCAGCTTATATAATGAAATGAGGAAAACTAAAGAGGTCCTCAGTACAAACAGAGGACCAAATTCTACCCTCTGTGGTACAGAAGGCCTCCCCACCAGTGGCTGATACACTTGAAGGTAGAGTTTGACCCTAGAACATGCAGACTGTACAGACACATGCACCACAGTCTTGCAAAAGCATATGGTAAATTTAACAACTCGGCCACAGCTTCTCTATTTACGCAATTATTGCCTAATAATTTTAGCAAAAAGTCTCCAACACAGTCTCTTTGCATGTCAAAGGAGGGGCATTTACCACAGGCAAGGAGAGCTTTTGCAAGGCTGGCATGAAATGCAGCTCAATTGCTTGTCCATTTGCAATCGATTTAGCTTGCAAATGTTACAAAAATAACGGATCTCCAATTTATTTTAGAAAGCCAGTATGGAGAACTCTGATACTTTCAATTTTTAGTCAGCTGGTTACAGCATCCAATAAACTGAATGAAAACATTGTTTCATTTATAAGTTAAATAAATAAATAAAAACAAGTTTCCTGTCTCAAAATGAAACATATAGATCAAACACTAGTGATAATTTGACATTAAGATTTCAGGACACTGAAAGACAACAAGAAAAAAGCAATATTTTAAGAGGCTTGTATTGTATTTATCTATAGTCAAGACACTCTCCATGACATTATTTTGCAAGGTATGCATTAAAACTACTTGAAGCACACCTTGTTTTCACCATATTTTAACAGAAACCAAAGTGCTGCCACCTGCGAAAAGCTCTGCACCACCTCACAGCAGCAGTTCTGCTCTACAGCCGTTCTGGATTTGCTGCACACAATGCATACAATTCAAGCCTCTTCCAGTTCACAGAAATAAAACAAATTCCATTTTCACAAGAACTACAAGGGATTTGCTTCACCATCTAATTTATAAGTTCTGAGCCCCAGAGGAAATGACAGATGCAAAACAAACAGAAGAGAAAAAAAAGCAGATGGAGAGGAGAGGAAAGAGGAAAGAGACACAAGGGACTGCATGCCATTAACCATTACTTTTCCAGTCTTCTTTTACGCTCTGTCTAGGATGCTTATGGCAAAACTTTCAGAGAAATCTCTCCAGCTCATACTGCTCTTTATAAGCAAAAACAAGAAGACTGAGAAAAGGATCATAATCATCAACATGGTATGCTGAGACAAGAAATGGCTACTTCCATTAGATTGGTGATAAAATGCACGGGTGAAAAAGTTCCCTTCCTGTCCCCCAGCCCACTGCACAGTAGCCTGTAAGCACAGCAAATGCCATGCATAAATAGCTGGAGTAGTAGCCCATTTCTTGTGCAATTTATTACTATGAACACTCAAATCTTAATTACAGGTTGCCCAAGTCTTCAAGTGTTGAAAGTACAAATGCACAAATGCACAAATGACAGCATGAAGAAATGAAGGTTACAATGCTTAGCAACTGCTGCTGTCAGGGTGAGGTAAAGCTGTTCTGCAGTTTTAACACCTTTGTTGAATTTCATTTGCTCTTTTATGGCTTATGGCTTCTGAAAGATTTTGGTTTATAATTGTAGAAAATAGTTATCAAGAGTAGTTCAATATATGAATTTTCTCTGGCCAGAAGGATAAACTCACTGAGGTCTCATACCAGAACACCTTACGAGAGTGAATTGGGGTAACTGTTTCAGAAGAAAATGTATCTTGATCTTTAAGTTTAATAGGTTAGGACTGTACTTGAAGAGAAGCAGCAGCTAATTCTCACCAGAGAGGACGGGAAAAGCAGCGAATATTAGCTGCACTTGGTTTTATTCAGTGCTCAGTCAGAACTGATAGGCAAAGGCACCTTAATGAAGCTAAGTAATAGATTACCAGGTTATCACTGTTTTTCCAGAGCGACCCAGAAATTTGGAAGCGGACATTCAACACTTGAAGATAAGTTATTTGTAGTGAACCCAACCCCACCAGTGATCACAGTAGCAATATCTATGTCAGCAGCAACTAAAACTTGTGCTGGCACAGGAACAATGTCAGGGCCCCAACAGGCAGCAGCATCTTGTGCCAAAAATGACAGTTAGATAAACGGTCTGAGCCTTGCAGGAGCCCTGCTCTACTTGATTAAAACAATTGTAAACACTAGAAGCCCAATTCATTAGGAATTCTTGGATCAAATCCTTGGATTGAAGGGAACTGGTCATGTACTGGGCAAAAATAAGTCCTTTCCATCCTAAAAAACACACAGTGAAGTTTTCTCAAAGAGCTTCTACTTTGAAATGTTCACGCTTTAAGATGAAGGATTGAGTGGCTTCTCCCATCCAGCCTTTATGCCACTGTATCACGAATGGTATCAGAGAAGCTAATCTTGGGTTGAGAGACAAAATACACAATGCTCCTGCCATTTACTGGCCTTTTTGGTACTGGATAAGATGTTGGAAGATTCTGAATGGCAAACTGCTCCAGAACTTACCTCTAGGAACTTCAGGGTTGATCAAAGGCTCAGTAAAACCACAAAAGTCCATTAACTTCAATGGCTTTTGCAGCGTGACTAAAACAAGTAACCTCTGTGCAACAGTTCAAAGGCTGAGGAGAAACTGCTTCGTTCTAACGCCTGTGCGTGAGGTATGACTCAGTTTATGTGCATACAAACCAGAGAAACCCTTATCCACCCAAGAAAGCGCTCACCGTAGCCCCAAATTTTTGTCCTTGACATGTTTTAACTACTAGTGTCTTGTTTTGCAGTTTCCAGATAAACCACCGATTAACTGAAAAAAAAATAAAGCTATAAGATGTAGCTGTAGCTATGTGTGCTGTGTGAAAATGGCAAATAATTTATGAAGCTTTCTTAAGCAAAGTACAAAAAAATGACCCTGCAATTCAAAATAGCAACTAAAAATACATTTGAGAATAAAATGGCAATTTGTGGGAGAAGAACCGGCTGCTTAAGCGCTAATCCGCCCTGGTATTCTGACCTCATCAAAGAATTGTTGAGTTTTGCGCAGTATAAATTTTAACTCTGTCAACTCCAAGAAGTTTCTCTTCAAAGCTTCCTGGTTTGTGTTGATTTCTTTAAGTTCATTTTCAATTTTCTCAAAGTTTGCCTGCAAGACAAAAAAAGGAGGAGAAAAAAAAAGACACTTAAAGTAATTCTGTAAGTGCTATTAATTCTATTATAATAATAGAAATGCCAAGATATTTGCATGGATTTATTGCACACAATAATCCTGAATAAACTTGGACAGACCCACCATAAGCCAGCAGCTCCAACAAACTGAGGAGAATTTCACCCATTTAAAGTTTAGGCTTTCACTTCTGAAAGTATTTGGATAAGTGAGCCGGTAAATCTTAATGTTTATGTAACTGAGGATAGCTAACATTTTGAGAGACAAATGGGGAATATAAACCAGGCATCTTTACCAGTGCTACTGTTATTTATTTATCAATTTCCACTGCTTTCAGCCAGGAAGAAGAACTCTTTGAGCTTTGACACACATAATTACCTCCAGGTCAATCATGTCACGGGGAAATGGTACCTCTGGGTTTTCACCAGTGTCCATGATGGGAATATTTGCCTTTTTAATCTCCTTCTCAACAAACCCTGCGAAGATAACACAGTTAGACATAATGCTAGCCAAAGATACAAACATGAAATTACCGCGAACTCAGCCTCAATCTAGCCTCATCAGAAGCTTCCACCTCCAACTGCAAGGAGGGCTCGTAGTGGGCTAAAAGCCAAATTCAGCAACATTTGGAGCCCCAAACGGCTACTTGGGGCAGCCCAACCCACACAAGCAGGGAGGTTTTTGCTTCCGCGGCCCCGGGCTCTGTAGCAGGGGGGTTTGCTGCAGGCCTGGCTGCTCCCCCGCCGCGGGCGCGGGGCGACGTACGCAGCTTTCGGTCCATCTCCTCGCAGCGCCGCACTTCATTGACGAACTTGCGCTGGAAGACGTTCACGTCCGGGTTGAGCTGCGGGGAGAAGCGGCTCCGCTGAGCGCGGGTGGCCTCGCGGCTCCCCCCCCGGTGCCGGTACCGGTACTCACGTCGCGGAACTGGACCTTGCCCAGCTCGCCCAGCTCGCTGACACAGCAGTAGGCGGCCTCGGACTGCAGGAAGAGCTGGGCCAGGGTCATCTCCTCGCTGCGGAACAGCTCCCCCATGGCGGCGACGCCCCCGCCGCGGCCTCTGCGGGGAGAGGCGGTGAGAGCCGGGATCGGGACCGGCCCCTGGGGCTCCCTCCGACCGGGGGTCTCTCCCCCCGGTCCCGAGGCCTCCCCCGGTCCCGAGGATTCCCCCCCCCGTTGCGCGGCCTCCCCCCTCCGTTCCGAGGCCTTCCCGCCCGGTCCGAGACCTCTCCCAGTCCCGGCGCCTCCCCCTGCCCCTGTCCCGGGCCCCCTGCCCCGGGCGCCCCGCCGCCTCGGGGCCCACCCCGGTCCCGGCGCCTCCCCCCGCCCCGGTGCAGGGCCTGTCACGTCGCGTTACCTGCCGCAGCCCCGAGCCCTGAGCAGCCGCCGCCGCCGCCAGCTGACCCGCCGCGGCTGCCGTCCCTGACGTCACCACGCTCGCGGGGGGGGGGGGCGGGATCCTGCGGCACGTCGCTTGGCGACGGCACGCCTCGGAGGGGCGCGGCGGAAGTGACGTCATTCTCGCACCGCCCGGGGCGTGGTGAGGGGCGGCGGTGACGTCACGCTGCGGTGATGTCACGCGGCAGGCGGGCTGAGGCGTGAGGCCCCGGTTGGGGGTATCGGGATGAGCCTGTGCACTTGGGGAAGGGGCTGCGGCAGTTGCCAGGGCTCGCGCTGCCGGGAGGGAAGCCCCATCCCCGCCCCTTCCCGCCATTCCCAGCCCCTTCCCGCCATTCCCGGCCCCTTCCCACGCTCCAGCGCTGGCTGAGGCCTGAGCCCTGTGCTGTGGCCACCCACCCTGGCAGTAGGGAATGAGGAGAAGGAACGTGGCTCCGTGAGGGTGGCCCCCATCCTGGGAGCCCAGCTCAACAGGCAGCGAGGCCCTGCGGCCTGGGGAGCGCTGCGCTCGGACCGGGAAGCGCAGGGAATATCCCCCGGGTCTGGGAAGCACAGGAAACGTCCCGCGGGTCGGGAGCCGCTGCACTTCGCGCTGCGAGTGGAAACACTTTTATAGGCGGGAGGCCAAGAATCACAAATAACACAAATGGCACGGAGCTTCCAAGAGCAGCTTGTGCTCATCGACGGTGGCTTTGGAGCGCTTGCACTTTATGGTTGGAAGAGGAGCTTTTAGAATAGGGAAAACGGGGTTTAGCCGCGGAGCCCGTTCCACACCGATGTCTTCGGTTTTGAAAGTCCCGGTGGGAGGGAGGCGCGAGGGCCCTTGCGGAGCTGGGCGGCCGTTTGCCTCCCGTGGAGCTGAGGAGGATGAGTACTGTCCTCATATAATGTGTCCTCATGTATGTGTCCTCGTATGTGTGTCCTCACATATAAACAATATGTGTTTATTTGCTTCACTCCAGCATAGGGCACCCGTGAGCTCCCCCGTGGAAAAACCAGCCCCTGTGAGCTCAGCTTCCAAGAGCTGATGTGAGACAAGAGCTGCTGGCACATGGAGCAGTGCGGAGGCCTGGGGTCAGCTGTGATAGAGGGAGCCAATTCAGCAGGTTAAATAACATTTATTTATCAGAAAATGAGCTGGGTGCCTGTGAAACGCGTTGCGGTGTCTGTGGTCCGTGAGGCTGAGTTCTCCGCACCCGTGGGACCCCCCAGCAGTGCAGGAAGTTGCACCGGCTGCGTTTTCCCCAGCCTGGCTGTCCCTGGGTCTCCGGGAAACAGAAGGAGCGATTGGATTAAATGGAGAAAAAGAAACCAGTTTCCTCTCTACCCAAGGACAAATTGTGGCAGTTGCAATCTGTGATTTTTGGGAGGCGCTGTCTGCTGCATGCTCAGCCCATCGCTTGTTTCCAAGGGGCCCCAAGCAGCTGGGTTTTACTGTTTATGAATTCAGCGAGTTGAGCAAAGCTTCTGCCAGGCACAGGAACCACCACGTCCTGCAGTGGAAGCAGATGCTGCGTTTCCCTTTCCTCCTCTGTCCTTGGCACGTCTGAGAGCTTTTCTTTGAGCCCGAAATCTGCCGCTCCGTGGTTGTGCTGTGTCCCCGACAGAGCATTTGATAGCGACACTGTAAAGCACATGGGACACTGGAATAAACAGCAGGATCTAAGGCACATCTCAGCGTATAAAATCCAAAGCCCTGCGGCAGCTTTGGCTTGTCCTGTGTGTTCAAACCTGTGTCCAGGCTCTGAAGGGAGGACTGTGGTTTGCCGCCTATTGGCTCTTCCTGGGATGTCTCCATGGGAGAAAACGGCTGAAATGGAGTTAATCCTAACATAGAAAATTACTCATCGCATTTTAGCTTGGGGTGTGATTGCTACGTGCGCAGCAGGCGCAGAACGTGGCGCTTGCTCTCTTCTATTAAATATCAAGACCAAAAATAAGTTCCTGTTCTCTCATTTTATCTCTTTCCATCTTATATATTTGGCCTATTTGACATTGTTCTTTTTATTCCCAGTGGGGAAACTTAAGGCACAGGAGGCAGTACTGAAATTGCCCAGGGAATGGATAGCAGAACTCCAAAGAGAGCCCTGCTCCGCTCGCTTCCCGTCCTGCATGTTCAGCTTCCCAGCAGGTATCTCTGGAAGTGGCTCTGGAGCAGAAATCCCCAGCGAAAGCCAGCGGTGGAGCTCGGGCTGCCTGCCTGGAGCTGGGCGTGTTGTGTGGAACTGACTCATCAGCAGCAACCCCTGGAAACTAATCCTCAGGAAAAAAAAGGGCCCTCCAGGAAAAAACAACCTTAGAAAAGCAAGTTAGTTTGGATAGATGACATCGTTGCACTGTGCAGCCCCCGCTACGTGTATTGACTGTGTGTTTAGAGCTGCAAATGCAGGGAAAGCAAATAATGCAGGGAAAGCAAATAATGCAGGGAAAGCAAATGCAGGGAAAGCAAATAATGCAGGGAAAGCAAATGCAGGGAAAGCAAATAATGCAGGGAAAGCAAATGGCAAGGAAGCCGCGGTGCGGCGGCGCTGGCGAGGGTGCTGGCACGTGGTGGGTGCGGGGGCACCCGGCGCGTCCTCGTCCTCGTCAGCAAACAATGATCCCACACAGGGCCCCGCGCGGGGCGGCCTTCCCGGCTGCTCCGTTGGAATTCGGCGGTTTTGCCAAGCCCGTGGCAGGCGGTTTTAGCCGCCTCTCCGCGACGAGGGGCAGGAATGGCCCTGCTGAGGGGCACCGTGTGCTGGGCGCGGGTGGCTCCTGTGCAGCCCCAGGGCAGGGGGAAGCGGCGCTTTGCTGCTCTGTCCACAGCTTTTCCACCCGCCTGGAAGGGGGTTCTGCCGCCCTGAGGCTTCACAGCGCAGCCCCGGCCTTGGGGTTTCGGTTGCTCTGGCTGTGCCAGCACCGGTAGTAGTGAAAAGGTCTCACTATTAAGCTCTGAAATAATAATTGTTTTTGTTTTACCAGCAAAGCCTTATGAAATGCAGCACATTCGAGCATTGCTTACAAGTACGTTTTTGCACAGCATCTGCTGAAGTAAGTCCTGTATTTGTGGCTAGATTTGTAGATGAATAGAGGGCCGTGGGGCTGAGGTAGCTGCTCATAGCTGGGCCTCTATGGCTGCTTCAGTTCATAAGCGAATTATATTTATTCTTTCTGTATTAACTGCATGGCACTGTGATGTACACTGCATGCATAATGTGCCCCTATGAACGTATATGCTGGCAACTACATACGTACATAGGAGCATGCATTTGTATGATTCAGAAATTAAATGTCATAACCTTTCAATCTAGATTAAAACCTTTAAAAATATAGAAAATGGGACCTCGTAATGTTGAAAAAAGTGCTAACTATGGGAAAAAAAGGTCTGAATTCTCTAACTGAACCTCTGCACTGTCATGAGCAGTTATTTTAAACCAGCCTTCCTTTAATGTATACAGCTGTGCCCAGATGGGGCTTCTTCCTTTTCAGAACTTTCCGAGCCATTTACACAAGGTTTTTGTTTTTTCCTTTCAGGCGGATTCCGTGGGGGGTTATTTAAATGCCTTTAGCCTCATGGCGAAAAGAGGCTGCTGGAGTTTGAGCCCTGCATTTCTCGGCGCGCTGTGCCTGCGCTCGCATGCGAAGCCCTCGCCTCCCCTCCAACTATTTTAATCGTCGCAGAAAGGGTGGGACCCCAGGCATTTGGCAGCGGGCGCCTTTTCTGCAGCCGAGGTGGAGTCAGCCAATGCCCTGCAAGGCTGGAAAATTTTGCAGGGCGGTTGGAGTGGCCGGCGCTGCGGGGCCGGGGCCATTCGACGTGCAGCTCGGGCGGCCGCGCGCTGCGCTCTCCATTCCTGGCGCGCCTCCCAGCGCAGGGTTTAGCTGGGGCTCGGGTTCACTTTTCCCTCCGCTCACTCCTGCCGGCAGCTTCTCCGGGCTCCTGAGCAGCCATGGAAGACACCACGTTGCAAATTATCGAACCCCCGACCGCCTCCGAGGCCTCGGAGGAGCAAGCGCCCGAGGAGCCCATCAAAGCAGACCAGATCAATGGGGTGATGGTGCTGACCCTCCTGGACAAGATCATCGGAGCCGTGGATCAGATCCAGCTGACTCAAACACAGCTAGAGGAGAGACAGCAGGAGATGGATAGCGCAGTGACCAGCATCCAAGGCGAGCTCACCAAGCTCACCAAGGCGCACACCACGACCAGCAACACCGTGAATAAGATGCTGGAGAAGGTGCGCAAGGTGAGCGTCAACGTGAAAACCGTGCGGCAGAACCTGGAGAAGCAAGCCGGGCAGATAAAGAAGCTGGAGGCCAACGAAGCGGAGCTCTTGAAGCGCAGGAACTTCAAGGTCATGATCTACCAGGTAAGGGGCTGCCCCACGTCTTCATGTTCTGTTCCCGGTGCTGAGTGTTGCATCATGGTGCACGGTTTGCTGCTCTGCCGAGCTCCCCTCGTCCCCTGGAGCGCTCCCAGTTGAGGTGCCCTTGTTGGTGTTTTAGCACTGTCTGTATATTCTGCAACAGCAGGTTTGAGGCCGTTGGTGCATTTAACAGGGCTTTTAAGGAGGGCAGTGAGAACGGCCCTACACACTCGCTGTAAAAGACCAGAAGCATCAGAGAATCCAAATCGCTGCTTCACTGAAAAAAAGCATCAGAGTATTCTGATGTTCCCGGTTCCGGAGGGGGACGTTGTGAATCGACCCTTTGGAGCCTCTTCTGTTTGAGAGGCAGCATGTGTTTCACTACACAGAGAGGGCTTCTGTTTCAGATGGGTGGCATGCGCCTTACAACAGCAGGAGACAGTAGCCCCAGCCGAGTGGGACAGACTGCAGAGAATACAGAGCAGGGTTTTGAGCTCGTTAGTGACTGCTATTTTGCTTGCACGTACTGCCCAGTTACTTGCCTGTAACCTGCAAGTCTTGAACCTTTCGTTTTTTTGATTTTAATTAACTGCTTTGGTTTGCTTGATACTCAGCCCCCGCACTTGCACTAAACGCTGGATTTTCCTTGAATATGCAACAGGAAAGGAAAGAGGAATATTGTGCTTGTCTTTTTTTCCTGTCTGGAGTTAGCCTTCCGTGTCAGAGCGAACTCTCATACTGGGAAAAGGGAGTGAAAAGGTTAATGATTCAGTTAGAAGCCTCTGTGTTAATAATAGACAGTGGCAGGGGCAAATAGAGAAGCATCTAGTGCTGATCACAGTAAAAGAGGAAAGAAAAACAAAACAGAACAACAAAAAAGCACTTCCTACTAGTTTGAAAGGAGAGCTGATCATAATAAGCTCAGGAATCTAGCGAGTGTCCGGGCCTGTGTAACTCTGATTCAGAGGTTAAGCATTCATAGTTTTATCATGCCTGAAAGGCTGAAACACTCGAGCCTATTGACATCATGCAGGCCGTGCAGCCAGTTTGATATGTATTTATATATTTACTGGAAGCTCTTTATATCGGGCTTTTGGGGAGCTGTTTAAATGGGAAGTTCCTTGTGCCGCGTGAAAATAGGTAGGAAAGTGGCCGCCTTTGAGATCCTTTCGCAGCATCCCCAGGACTGGCAGGTGGTTGTTTGGGGAACTGTTCACTTTGGTTTATTATTGCCCGTCAATATTGAGTTGCTTTTTTTTTTTTTCTTGAGTAAACAATCCTGCTTCTAAAGGAGACCACTGGCAAAACTTTGGCAATAGATGGTTGCAGTGAAGACAGAACAACTGCTGAGGGATTCAGTTGAGAACGGGCTATGGCAAGAACTTCGTGTATCATTCAGTTGGGTGGGAAAGTACAGAACTGATGGGTTGCAATTCAGATATTTTATTTTATTTTATTTTATTTTATTTTATTTTATTTTATTTTATTTTATTTTATTTTATTTTATTTTATTTTATTTTTTCATTTCGTTTTATCTTTCGGTGGAGAAACCCTCGGCTTCCTCTTAATTTGGCGAACTGAAAAGTAAAATCCGTGACTGGGCTTTGGATGTTTGCAAACTACAAAGAAAAAGGCAATAATATGACTATGTGTGAACAGCAGACACCTTTGCCTGGCTTGTGCTGCGTTGCTCTGCCAAAACTGACCGTGCAATGAGAGCCACGATTGCAGAGGGAAGCCCTTGGAAGAACTTTCTGTCTTGTTGCAGCCCCTGCAATAGTGTAGCCACTTTCCCCTATATAAAATGGAAACAGATTTTTGGGGTAACAGAGAATGTTTCTTAAGGGTATCGGCCCATGGGCTCCCTCAAAGCCGCTTCTGCAGGTTTCTGCTAGGACTTTTTTTGTCATTACCAAAACATTAATTATCGTTTCCTATACAGAAAATCAGTGATTACTTAGGAGTTGCGTTATTCTGCAATTTGCCCTTCCTAGAAATGTCGTTGCTTAATTTTCATGACCCAGCAGCCTGGGTAGTAAGGCTTTACATAAGGAAAAACAGTGCGTTGCATATGGGAACCTCGGATTTGTGGAAACCTTTTATTCTGACAAAGGTTAAATATTTGAAGGATTTGGGGAGTTTTCCTTTTGTTCAGGGGAATTTCTATTCTGCTTTCTCTTTGAGAGAGAGAAAGGTAGGATTTTTGGAGTTTATTTCTGATTGTAATTATGGAGATGTCGTTCTTCAGAAATTACCCACCCAGACCGACTGCGAGCTGCAGTGCAGAGCTGCAGAAATGTTAGTTTCTGATAGGGGGTCTTGATTTATTCATAGGAATATTTTATTGCGTTCAGTAATTTTAGGAACATCAGGTAAAAGAGTGATATTCTGTTTGGGGGTTTGCAAAACAGACGACACTAATGCTTTTACATGGTAAAACTGTACGGAAAGAAGGGCTGCTTTTGTGTACATTTTAAAGGCATTTATCAGATCTAAGATTATATTCTGCCACCTCACGGATACTGAGCAGTGCTCTTCATTGGAAGAAGTCTTGTTGATTCCCAAGGGATCGCACATTTACTATTATCTTCCTGCATTTAAGTTTTCATAATTAAGTTTTTAACTTTCGCAATGTATTGAGAGTCTACAGGAAAAAAAAAAATCATGATGGGCTCCACCCTGGTGGCTTTAAATCTGGAAATTATTTGTTCTCATTATTTTTGTCTATCTTAAAAAAAGGAATACAGAAAAAATACCCCTTATCTAATTGGGTATTTCACTTTTCCATCTTAAGGCTTTGGAGGTCAGGTGAAAACATGGGCTAAACGTGGCCTGTGTAAGCGGAGCTCGGCCCCCAGTTCCTGCCTTTGGAGAATTTAGGACGCTGGAGCGTCCAATCTGCTTAGGGTCTGTGCTCAGAAAACCAAAATAACGGGATTTCCCCCCAGGATTTTGCAGCGCGCGCGGCTCCGATTGGGAGCTGGGCGGGTGTTTATCTGGGGGCCCAGCCCCTGCAAACAGGGCCCCCCGCTTGGGGGGCGTTTGGGGTGTAAACAGCACCCCAGTCCCTTGGGGCTGGCCCCGGCCACCTACATAACGCTGCTAATTGAGCTCCGATAATTAACAGTTAGTTGTTCATCTCTGGTGCTTTGTTGCCGGCAAAGGGGGGGTCTCTGCGCCAGGCTGGTTCATCTCCCTTTCTGTTCTGCTGCTTTTAGTCACAGATCTAGCAAAGCTGGAGGTGAAAAAAAAGCATCCTGTGGGACGAAGGGAAATAGTTTGACTCATTCCTCTGGCCTGCGGCTCTGAAGTCAGCTGCGTGTTCTCTGTGCGCTGTAAAGGCCGTCTTGATATCCTGGGCCTTCCTGGCCCCTAAACATCCTGGATTTAGAGGAGGCTTAAGATAATTCACAGAGATGCTGTTTCTAAAAGCTTTGGATTGTTAACAGCCCGACCTTCCAGGATTTTCTTGCTGCAGATTATCAGTCTTTCTACTCAAAGACAGTTCTAGAGCATGGATTTCCTTGCTGCAGCTGAGAATCAATCGCATTAATATTTTATTGCCCAGGGATTATTTATAAGCAGTTAGTGGCAAGGCTGTTTGTTTTGTCGAAGTCCTTTCATCATCATGGAGCTGTTCTGAGCTGGACAGCAATAAATGATCTCAGAGGCAAGAGCCAGGGGCGCAAAGGCTGCTCAGCCCCGTTTCATAAGGTTAGGTTGGATGTTTAATAGCTCATGAGAATAAAACCGGCGGCTCTTACTGCTTGTAAGCACAAATCCTGTCTCTTGTGCCTCTCGGGAGCGAATCTTGGCTCTGTCTTGCACCGTGTGTGATGCCAGTGGGGTGGCTGCACCCCGGGGTGCGCAGCAAAGTGCAGGATTTGCCCCCAGTCACAGTGTCCTCCGTGGCTGGAAGGCCCTGTTTTCCAAAGGGATTGTGGCTCTTTGTTTGGGGTGTTTCCTTTCCTAAAAGCTCTATGCAAAGATAAACCCTCGCGGACATAGAGGGAAGCAGTCGGCCGAGGCCCCATCCAGCCCAGCCGGCACATCCCGGATTAGCAGCCGGGGAAGCCGCAAACAGCGCCTGTGCTGGGAGCCAAGCTCTCCCGGGAGAGGCTTGATCCCGTTCCCGAGGCTGGATCCCATGCCCGGCTGCAGGGTCCTGCGCGGGAATGCGGCTCCGAGGGGCTGCGAGCCGCTTAGTGCCACGGGCTCCGCGTGGGAACGAGCAGAGAACCCCGCAGGTTCCACTCTCCAGTATATTGGCACGTGCCCAACATAAAGCACAGAACGCCCTCCAGCTTTCGAGCTTTCTTCATCTTCCTCCCTCTTGTCTGGGGATGATATCCTCTTGATTCTGCAAGATTTTCCACAAATGAGGAAGCACCTGAGGAACTGCAGGTCTGCTGCGCAGCTGCAAGAGGAGACGAAGACCAGAGATAAGGATGTTACAATCTCAGCAATGGAAAATCAAATATTTACAGCAAAAAAAGCCTCAGGATGTTTAGTCTGCACCTTTTTGGTGAGAATGCAGATGACAATGAATATGGGTGCTGATCTGTCTGTAAATGCAAACCCCATCTTTCCTGGTTTGCTGTCACAAATAGCCCTGCAGTTATTAATCAGATGTGGCAGGTTTATCCGGGAGGAGCAGTTCTGAGAGTACAGCCAGTTGTTCCAACAGCCTCATAACAGGATTCAAACTTTTTTTCTTTGTCCTGACAGAGGGGAAAAAGGTATTTTTGCCCTTCAATCTATTTACTCGTGTGTTTCCTACAGCCCTGCCTTTCTTCTGAGTCACATCTAGGCACACAGCCTCCTCCAAACAGCCTCCGGCTCCGCGCGGGCTCCCTGCTCGTGCCTCCCTCGCTGCTCTCCATCAGCTTTGGACTGGCTCCAGCGTCTGCATCACGCTCATTCTCACCAACTAATGGAGAAGATAAAGCCTTTTAGGACATAACTTCTAGGACACGGAGAAACGAGATATGTCTGATGGAGGA